GTTGATCTTGGCCAACCGGTCGAAATTCAAGCCACGTTCCAAAGCAAGACCAGTCAAGGCAGGCACCCGAGACAAGACGGTAAACGTACCGCCCAGATGCATTTCCGTGTCGCCCAAGTTTGCAGCAACACAAGGAATTGTCATGCCCTGGGACTTGTGCATCGTGGCTTAAAACTGCCACCCGAAATATCCTCACCCGCTGGCTTAAAACTGCCACCGAAATATCCTCACCCGAGATATACTCACCCGCTGGCCTAAAACTGCCACCCGAGATATCCTCACCCGCTGGCTTAAAACTGCCACCGAAATATCCTCACCCGCTGGCTTAAAACTGCCACCGAAATATCCTCACCCGCTGGCTTAAAACTGCCACCCGAGATATCCTCACCCGCTGGCTTAAAACTGCCACGCGAAATATCCTCACCCGCTGGCTTAAAACTGCCACCCGAAATATCCTCACCCGTTGGCTTAAAACTGCCACCAAAATATCCTCACCCGAGATATCCTCACCCGCTGGCTTAAAACTTCCACCGAAATATCCTCACCCGCTGGCTTAAAACTGCCACCCGAGATATCCTCACCCGCTGGCTTAAAACTGCCACCCGAGATATCCTCACCCGCTGGCTTAAACCTGCCACCCGAGATATCCTCACCCGCTGGCATAAAACTGCCACCCGAAATATCCTCATCCGAAATATCTTCACCCGCTGGCTTAAAACTGCCACGCGAGATATCCTCACCCGCTGGCGTAAAACTGCCACGCGAAATATCCTCACCCGCTGGCGTAAAACTGCCACCGAAATATCCTCACCCGAGATATGCTCACCCGCTGGCTTAAAACTGCCACCGAAACATCCTCAACCGCTGGCGCTTAAAACTGCCACCCGAAATATCCTCTCACCCGCTGGCTTAAAACTGCCACGCGAAATATCCTCACCCGCTGGCTTAAAACTGCCACCCTAAATATCCTCAGCCGTTGGCTTAAAACTGCCACCAAAATATCCTCACCCGAGATATCCTCACCCGCTGGCTTAAAACTTCCACCGAAATATCCTCACCCGCTGGCTTAAAACTGCCACCCGAGATATCCGCACCCGCTGGCTTAAAACTGCCACCCGAGATATCCTCACCCGCTGGCTTAAACCTGCCACCCGAGATATCCTCACCCGCTGGCTTAAAACTGCCACCCGAAATATCCTCATCCGAAATATCTCACCCGCTGGCTTAAAACTGCCACGCGAGATATCCTCACCCGCTGGCGTAAAACTGCCACCCGAAATATCCTCACCCGCTGGCGTAAAACTGCCACCGAAATATCCTCACCCGAGATATCCTCACCCGCTGGCTTAAAACTGCCACCGAAACATCCTCACCCGCTGGCGCTTAAAACTGCCACCGAAATATCCTCACCCGCTGGCTTAAAACTGCCACCGAAATATGCTCACCAGCTGGCTTAAAACTGCCACCCGAAATATCCTCACCCGCTGGCTTAAAACTGCCACCCAAATATTCTCACCCGCTGGCTTAAAACTGCCACCCGAGATATCCTCACCCGCTGGCTTAAAACTGCCACCCGAGATATCCTCACCCGCTGGCTTAAACCTGCCACCCGAAATATCCTCACCCGCTGGCTTAAAACTGCCACCCGAAATATCCTCATCCGAAATATCTTCACCCGCTGGCTTAAAACTGCCACGCGAGATATCCTCACCCGCTGGCTTAAACCTGCCACCCGAAATATCCTCACCCGCTGGCGTAAAACTGCCACCGAAATATCCTCACCCGAGATATCCTCACCCGCTGGCTTAAAACTGCCACCGAAACATCCTCACCCGCTGGCGCTTAAAACTGCCACCGAAATATCTCTCACCCGCTGGCTTAAAACTGCCACCGAAATATGCTCACCAGCTGGCTTAAAACTGCCACCCGAAATATCCTCACTCGCGGAAATAAAACTGCCATCTAACGGCCTGGTGGTTCAGTTCAGTCTGTCAGTGTCTACCTCGCGAGAATCAAATTACGGGCTGCGCCCGTAAACAAAAACATCAAACAGTTCATTGTTAGAAGCAAAAAAAAATTGAACCTGTTTGCCTCGCTGGCCGGAGTCATCGCGTCCTTACGGTGGAGTGTTCCTATCAAGTTGATGGTGAAAGGGTGGGGGATTTGCTGAGGGATTGGAATTGACGACGCCACGCCAGCTCTCTTGCCTACAAAAGAACGTACATCCACCCCCACACCAAAGACAGACGGCAACGATGCGGCAACTAGGCGGCAACGGGCAGCAACGTGGCGAAACCTCGCCAGATCCACACAGCGCACGAGGTGGCAACGAGGCGGCAACGGGCGGCAACGTGGCTCAACCTCACCGGACCCACTCAGTGCACGAGGTGGCAACGAGGCGGCAACGGGCGGCAACGTGGCCCAACCTCGCTGGACCCACCCAGCCGCACGAGGCGTCAACGATGCGCAAACAAGGCGGCAACAGGCGGCAACGTGGAGAAACCTCGCTGGACCCACCCATCGCACGAGGTGGCAACAAGGCAGCAACGGGCGGCAACGTGGCGAAACCTCGACCCATCGCACGAGGCGGCGACGACGCGGCATCGGGCGGAAACGTGGCGAAACATAGCGGGACCCAACCAATCCCTGAGGGAGACAAGCAATAATCCCTACGTGCAGTAACTGATAAGACTCCAATGCCACACGCGGGCATCTCCGCGCGCGCGCACGTCGAAAGCCTACCACAGCAAATGGTTCCGAACCATTTTCAGACAGAGTTCTCTAAAAACATACGCAAGCCAAATGTTTTTACTATCGTGAAAGGGTGAGTCATGGATCTGTCTGACAAAGGCAATATCGTCGCTGCGCCAGATTAGTTTTGCCCGCAAATTGCGGGTGGGTGGGATGGTTGCACGAGCGCTGGAACTGACGGACTCAACAATGACAATTCATTCACTCGCGGCAGCATGCGCCAGAGGGGGATCCAGAAACCAGAGCGACGAAAGAAAGTCCCTAGCAGGAGAAGGAGGATGAGGAGGCCTGTTGCCTCTCGGAGGCGTCGGGGGGAGGCATCTGAGGAGCCCATCGAGGCCTGCTCGGGGGCTCGAAAGGGTGTCTGAGGGCGCTGTGAGCGCGCGTCCGAGGGGGGTCTTTGGGAGCTTCTTGTAGGCCATCGTGGGGGGAAGGGCCCCAGTGCCCTTCGGACTTCCCCATCGTGGGCTCATCTTGGGGCCTTCTCGGAAGCTTCGTTGGCCGTATCGGGAGCCTCTCTCGAGGTCCTCTTGGGGCGCTGTTGGGCCCCCTTGGCCCTTGGGCTGTCTCGGGCGGGTCAAGGGGGGTCTCTTGGGCCGCTTCAGAGCTCGAAAGAGCGAGAACGCTCAATTCCTTCAAAAGCATACGATACTTAATTGTCTGTGCCTCTGGGGGTCCTGCTGAAGCCGACATGGGGCGTAATGGACTCTCTTGGAAGCATCGGGAGCGATCTTGTGCCGTCTCAGGCAGGTCTGGGCTGTCCTGGAGGGTCTCTTGGCGACAACTTGAGGCCATGGGAGGCATAGAGATTGACACCAACACCAATTTCGGCGGTGTGCCTCCACCAGGGGGAAGAAGATCCCGATCTCGGTGATGGTGCTAATATTCTGGCTTCCAAGGTGGCCGAACTATTACCACCAACACCGAACATCTAGGATCATCTTTCCCCTGTGGAGGCAACCCTCTATCTTGGTGTTGGTGCCAATTTCCAGGCCTCCGAGGCCATGCACGGCCGTCTTCCCCACTCTCGGGACTGAGAGTATTCCCCACAAGGCTGGAAACGTGGCCTGACCCCCCGGGGGGCTAAATTCGGCTACCAGGGGGTGGGTCCATTTGTTATTCCGTGCCCGGGGCGGCCTGGGCGGACCAACGCTCCGCCACACTTCCGCGAGGCACTAAGTAGACCTCGGGTCCTTTGCGTCTTCCGGCCTCGGGTCCCCTGGAGATGCCGCTTTGACCAGTTGATGCTCGCCGCCGCCGCTTTCTCTTTGTACCAACGCGTCACCTTGGCTTCACACGACGGTGTGTTCCGGGCGCTGTGGCCCGACCCCGCAGCAGGCTGGCATCCCTGAGTTCTACCGGGCTCATGGGATGACCGGATCTTGCCGCATGACTGCTTCGGAGGCCGTAGGGGCCCCGGAGGCCCCCGAAAAGGCCCAAGAGGCCACGAGTCGGACAAAGGCCCCTCCAAGATTCCCAATCTGGTCTCCAGGCGGCACGCAAAGCCCCGAGGGCGCTATAAGAGATCCAAAAGAGCATCCCCAAGAGGGCCCCGTGGGGCCAGAATGATTGATTGCCCGTCGGTGGAAGACTCTGACCTTCCTCGTTTTTGTCAGGCCTCCGACGGTCCAAGACGGCCCAAGAGGCCCACAAGATCGCCCCAAGACGGCCAAGAGGCTTCCAATGGGGCCCCCAGACAACCCGAGAGGACCCCATAGCGGCCCAACAGTACCCCAAGACGGCCCCACGACGGGCCAAAAATAAGGAAAGCGAGGGTGAAGCCCGCTAAACGCCCCGAGAGCTCCCCCAAACGGTTTCTCGAGGATCCCAACAGGCCCCCAGAGAAAGAACAACAAAAAAAATGAAGGCCCCAAAGATACCTCCAAAAGGCCGCCAAGAGGCCCCAAGAGGCCCCCAAAACTTATCCGAGAGAGAGACACCCCCAGTAACTCCGCGGAAAAACCTCTGACCCACAATCCCGGCACAACGGATCAACGCCCGCTGGGATCGATAGAACCGAAGTGGTACCAATTGGGCACCACTTGAGCCATGTGGCTTGCGTCCAGGAGGGAAGCATCCAAACCCGATTCCGAAATAGCAGCCCGCGGAATCCCGACAGGGATCGTATATACGCAGCTGCTGTATTTCCCAGCTCGCACGGCGGGCCGCCCCACGCCCGATCAGAAACAGATCGGCGGGGACGAACGATGGGAAAAACGCAAACGCTCCCGGCGGAGGCGCGCAAGCCATCAGCCGCACCAGCACATGGATGGAGAGAAGGAAGGCGAAACAACCTGCGCACTCCTGCGGTTGCGCGTTCGACCATGGACCTCCTGTTGCCAATCGCTCCTGAGACGTCTTCGGTGGTATTCAAAGGACTTCGGCGATGCTCGGCGCTCTTCATACGGGTTTTCGGCGGCTTCTGGCGGCTTCCAGCGGCCGCGGGGGGCCCACGATCGAAGACTCTTTTTGTTCCCCCCGCATCCAAAAGATGGGGTTCCTGTTGTTACTCCGACCGCGCCAGCTCCTTCCACCACCACTCCCCTTCCCCTCATCCTTACCCTCCTCTTCCCCATCCAAAGCCACAGTCGGGTGAAACACGCAAGTTATGCCGTGTTTTGTCATGTTGAACTGTGTTACACGTGAATATGTGAAATGTGTCAGGGCTCGTAATGATATGATGTGGTATGGCATGGTATGCCCTGTAATGGTATGGTGTGGTATGATGTGTTTGGTATGTTGTGATATGATATGGTAGTGAGAATGATGGTAATGATATGTCGTGGCAATGTATGGTACGCTGTGGCATGCCATGCGATGTTATGATAATGAGGGTGACGGCAACGATGACGATAATGATGATCTTCCCGCTGCGCAAGGTCACATTGACGGAACAGCGAAGCTGCCAGTCCGACATTGCCAGTCAGCACAGCGACCAGGCGCGAATACACTAACACACACACACACACACACACACACACACACACACTGGAGTAGGCCGCGGCATAACACCAAGCGAGCAAGCGCCGGGGGGCAAACAGTCGACCGATCGATTGCAGCCGAGACAACGCGGCTAAGCCCGCCACCCGAGCGAGAGAGAGAGAGAGAGAGAGAGAAAAAAAAAAAGAGAGAGAGAAAGAGAGACTCCGTAGCCATTTGGCTCAAGGACAGGAGACACCCGACAACCGCGAGTCCGTCGCGGGCGTCTCCTGAGCGCGAGGGGCCTCGCGCTCTGGGCCAAGGTACGACAATGCAAAGTGCATATGCTTGGCCGCGGCGCGCGGCTGCCCTTTCCCTGCTCGCCTTGCTCGGGGCGCCTTCTCTCAGAGGGCGGCAGAAACGGCGGGCGGCGGCAAAGGGGGCGCGCGCAGCGGTGGCGGCAGCGGCAAGCTGGGAGGCGGCGGAGGCGGGGGGGCCCGCAATCTGGGACCTGGCGCAGCAGCGCGCGCAAGCGGGAAGTCCCCCCGGCACTGCAAGACGCGCGGCGCGCCCGACGCCGAAGAGTCCAGGAAGCTCAACTCCGGGGACCGCTCGCTGTGCAAGTGGTGCAACTGTCCGAGGTCGTCGCACTACGGGGGCAAGCCGACGGAAAGCGCGCCCTCCAAGTCGAATGAGAGCGTCAAGCTGGCGAAGGAGCTGGAGGAGTTCATGCAGCTCAAGGCGAAGACGGCGGACCAGGAGGCGGCAGGCGCAGGCCTGGCGGCGAGCGAGGAGCCCCCTTGGCGCGAGGGGGCGGCGGGGGCCGCCGAGAGCCAACGCCTTGACCTGGTCGCCAAGAATTTGCAGAGCCTCCATAGCATGGCGGAGGTGGACGTGTTCGACGAGGAGGACTCCGAGCTCCGCGAGTCCTGGGCGTCCAAAGAAGGCCAAGCGGGAAGAGGGGCAGGCGCAGCTGCGCGCGGCCATCTTCCAGTCGAAGCCCCAGGGCGCGCAGCTCAAGAGCATCGCGGACCAGATCAAACATATCGAGAAGCAGAACGAGAAGGATCGCGGCGAGCTCGCAAAGATCGGAGTGCTGAAGAACGAACTGGAGAACATGGCGGAGGTCTTGCCGCAGGCCACCAGCGAGCGCTACCTGAAGCTCGCGGAGCTCCAGGCGGAGCAGGTGCGCACGGTGGGCATGGTGCCCCGCCCTCCTGGAGAGCCCGGCGCAGGCTTGGGCGGCCAGGCTGCGGGGGCCGCAGAGGCAAGCGGCCGCGGCGCCGCGGCGCCCGGCGCAGGACGGGCCCCTGTCCCAGGCGAAGGCGACCCCGCTGGGGACGACGCCATGGGCGACGAGGACCTCGAGTCCGACTACCAGTGTGACTTCCTCAAGAAGACGGTCCAGGCACCGGTCCCGTCCGCGGGCTCTGAGCGCCCAGATGACGCTACTGCGCGTGCTGTTTTCAAGCGCTACCCGCTACTGGGACGCCATCGGAGCCACGCCGCCCAATCGGCAGAGGAAGGCCTGAGGGCAGGGTCGACGCCATGACGATGCTGTTCGATGACGGGGATGCCTACTACAGCGAGCTGTACGAGGCAGAGGAGCAGGCGACCCGCGAGCTGGGTGGCTTCGACTACTGCGACGTCGCGCGACCCTGGCTGCCCTTGAAATTCGGCGAGTTCGGCAACTGGAACAGGCGCGGGGCAGCCAAGCGACGCCGCGCTGGAAGGCTGCGCTGGCGCTGCGCAAGGCGGCGGCCGCGCCGGCGCTGAGCGGCTGCTCGGCGACGAGGGCGGCCTTCAGACCCTGCAGAAACGGATGGGGGAAATCTGCTTTCAAGGCTACGGCCCTGGGATGTCGGATTCGTTTGACCCGGTGGGGTTTCCTGGCTGGCAACAACTGGAGTCGCCCCTAGGGCGCGGCCTGCAAACTGTTCCCCATGGCGTGCCTGCTGATCCTCCTCTCGGTATGGGGGAGGACACTCAGACCCAAGCTGGGCTGGTGGAGATGGGCGGCCACCAATGGAACAGCCCCAGGATGTCAGATTTGGTTGACCAGGTGGGGGTTCCTGACTGGCAACCGCAGGTGTCGGCCCCAGGGCACGGCCTGCTTGCTGCTCCTGCAGCTGTCCCTGATCCTCCGCAGCGGGCCGCCTGGGCGGAGGGCCAGACGCAAAGTGGGCTGGTCGGGGTGTTCGGCCATCAAAGTCATGGCTCCCAGATGTCAGAGTCGGCTGGCCTGGAGGAGCCTCTCGGGCGTCGAGCACTGGGCGCGGCCCTGAGGGAGAGGCGGAGGGATTGAGCCCCTTGTCGTCACAGCCTCCCCATCACATGCAGCAGTCGTTCGGCACCTCCCAAGGCGCGAGAGACCAGGCTGGCATCGGGCACGTTACTCGGGAATGCCTGGAAGCGCACCCTGCGCGCTGCCCAGCGCCTGCCGCGGGACGGCGCTGCCCTCCCGCGGGCCTCAGGCCAGCCGGCTTCCACGGCCGCGCGGCCGCCCCTGCTTGCGTCTGCTCGCCGCCAGAAGATGACGGGCACCTGTCGGCTCACTACGGTCAACGCGACGTCGCGGGGGCCCCTGGGCGAGTAACCCCATGTGGCCGACGGCACGTCGACACTTGACATCGGCGCCCAGGAGCATCACCGCCTGGCCAGAGATTTGGCTACACAGCAGCGGGCCTCCAAGGATGCTGGATGGCACAGGGGTCTGGAGTTCCGCCGCCCCTTCGCCTACGTCGGCTTCGGGCTCAATTGGAAGGGTGGCTGTCCCGGCTCCAACGATGGCCCAAGTCGCGGCCCCCCCCTGGACGCCGCCCACCTGATATAGTACCAGGCTGGCTGGTGGCAGGCCACGTCCGCGCGGGTCCACACGCGGGGGTTGAGCGGGCCTCTCGGGCAACAACCTCGGCATCCTCTGGCAGCTGCCTCAGCGCATGGGGCAGCTGGAGGCCAACGGCCACCACTGGGCCGTCTTGGGGGACTGGAACATGGAGCCGCAGGTGCTGGACTTCGGCTGGGTCACGAAGCTTCGCGCAGTGTTGAAGGCGGCGGAGGCGCCGTCCTGCAGGCAAGGCAGCGGGTCGCGCATCGACTACGTCGTCGTCTCCAAGAGCCAGGCGGGGCTGACCCAGCCGGCGGCCCAGCTAGACGCAGGGGCCAGCACCCAGCCGCACTGGCCCGTGCATCTCTCTTTCAGTGGAACTCAGATCGTTGCGTGGCAGAGGGTCCCCAACGAGCCGAAGCCTGTTCCGAAGGATGCCGCGCCCCCTGGCCCTGGCTGTGCCCGTGCACCGTGGCGGTGGGGAGGTGTCAGGAGGAACGTCGCACCGGCCCAGAACGAAGCGGGCTTGCAATGCATTTGGGACGCGCTCCTCGGGGGCATCGAGTCGGACATCCTGGACCGCGGGGGCATCGCGGGGAAGGGTCGCCAGCGCGCCGCAGCAAGGGGCACCGAGTTCGAGGTCAAGCTCGTCTGGCACAAGACCACCTGGCAGCCTCCGCGCAGGCGGCACGCGCGGCCCCCCTGTGCTCAGGCTTGGGCAGCGGCGGCGGGATGGGCCAGGCATTTGATCAGCATGCACGACCGCATTGCGAAGACCCTGCACCTGATCAACAGCGAGCCCGTGGACAAGCCCAGCCGCCCATGCGTGCGGCGGGAGAAGTGAATGGCCCCGGGCGGGGCCACGCTGATCGACGTGCGCTGCTTCCTGGCGCGCACCCAGGGCCACGCCCACAGGGCCCACCTGCCTGTCTGGGCCAGGGCGTCCTTCCTGAGGGGAGGGGGCGTCTTCCTGGGGGGGCGCTGGGACACGGACCTCAAGCGCGTCATCGCCGAGGCCCAGAAGCAGGAGAAGCTCGGCCCCCAAGCGACACAGGGGCGCTGGAAGGGCTGATCGACCAGGCCTTCGCAAGGGGAGCGGGCGCAGCGAACGCGACCACCAAGGTCCTCGCGCTCCAGGAGGTGGTCCAGGCCAGCGACGGGCACGACCGCGACGCGCTGGTGGAGCGCGAGCGGCGACCCTGGGAGGACATCTGGAGCTTCCACGGCCTCACGCAGATGGCCCTACCTGCTGACGCTCGCGACTGGGACCACCTCCCGCCCCTGACTCACCACGCCGTGCGGGACGTGATCCGCTCGCTTCCGCGGCGCACGGGGGTCGGGCAATCGGGCATCCCGCCCAGGGCGCTGGAAGACATCTCGGACGAGGCAGCCGATGCGATGATCGCGGTCTTTCACAAGTGCGAGGAGCCGCCTCATAAACATCATGGTGGGGCTCTCCAAGCCAGACGGAGGCAGCCGCCCCTTTGGGCCCATGCCGACACTTGCCAGGGCGCGGAGCCGCACGCGCCGCCCAGTCACCAAGGCACG